TTTTTTTTTTTGGTACCATGTCGTATTAACTCTTAAGGTGCATCATTATTTATGTATCATTAAGAAAGCTTATCATCAGTCAAATTGTTATAACGATGTCTTATTGCATTAGCAATGAGGTCAATTTCAATTTTATAAATGTTAAATTGTAAAAAAAATGTGTTTTAGAGTCAACAAAATATAAGAGATAATTAACTCTTTTGTTTTTGAACTGTCGTTATTTTGGACTTTTAGATACATTTCATGGATAATCTGCATTTTAGCTAATACAGACTGGTTTTTTTATTTTTATATCTACATTTTGGACTCAATGCTCCTTCAAATTTCTGAGTTGGCTTCAAGCAGAAGCAGAGTCCTTGTTTTGAAAATCAAGTTTATTGAAGTATAATTATCATACATTGGCATGTACCAGTTTTAAGTATGTTATGATGAATTTTGACAAACGCATGCACCCATTTAACTTTCAAAATAACCAGATTATAGAGTATTTCCAATACTCTTTATACTTATCCTGGTAAATTTCTCCTACCACAGGCCTAAGCAACTGCTTTCTGTCATGATAGGTTAAATTTGAATTTTCTAGAACTTTATATAAATGGAATCATAAAATATTTACTCTCTTTTGAGTCTGGCTTTTTTCACTCAGCATACTGTTTGAAACTCATCTATGTTGTTCTGTTTATCAATAATTTTCTTCTTTTTTATTTCCAAGCAATATTCATTATATGGATATAGCATAGTTTTTTATCTTTTTACCAGGTGATGGATGTTAGAGTTGTCTCCCATTTAGGACTAGTGTGAATAAAGGTGCTATCTGTATACAGAAACAGTCAGTTTTTATTCCCTACAGGCATGGGCCCATTCTGGCCACTCTTGTATCCTGCTCTGGTTCTAAGAATCTTACAGCTCTTGCTAGGTACCCTGCCCTTTGTCTGCTTGTCTGTTGACACTGACTAGTTAGAGCTAAATCTATCCTGGATAGGAGTTATCACCTGTTAGCCGTGACATTTCTCTTATCCCGCTCTCTAAACACGGCCATAAGAAGAAAGGATTAAATATACTAGCATATAAAAGTGGAGAACACTTGCCCTGGGCATGGAAATTTTGGGAATAAATGGTACAGGCTTTCAAATTAGCTTTCTGTCCCAAGAGAGGTAGTGGGGAAGGGACTCTGGATTTGGATCTGGGCAGGTCTGTCTTCAAATCCTACATTGGCCACACCTTATTAGTGTGAGAATTTGGATACATTGTTGAACCTCACTGAGGTTTCTTTTCCCCCTCAACCTGGAAAATGAATATAAAACTCACTTTGCAAATGTGAGAATTAAATACATGCATTCAACACATATGTATTGGAAACCTTCACGTGCCGGGCCCTGCCTAGGCTCTGGGTATATAGCACTGAGCAAAACAGTAAAAGCTCCTGACCTCATGGAGTTTACATTCTACCCGGGGAGACAACAATGAAAAAACAGAAGAATCAAAATCTGTGTTGTTAGGTGGTGGAAAGTACCATGGAGAAAAACACATCAGGAAAGGGAGATAGTAAAGGATGTGCTTATAACTCCTCCTTGGCTGTGAGCTGCTCGAGATTAGAATATGATCTTTTTCCTGTATCACTAGCATTTATCATAATGTCAGCTGTATATTAAATGCTGTGCACATGTTTCCTGAATGAAGAGAGTGACTGAATAAAAACCAGTGTTGACGAGAGAAATTTATCTCATGAAATCATTGTAATACTGCTTACCTGGACACTTTTATGTGCTTCCAGACAGGTAATAATTATGTCAGCAAGAATGGTGCCCTTCCCTTCTCCTTGTTCTTGCTGGATTCTGTAAGTCTCCTAGCCATTGTTATATTTTTTCTTAGAAATAAGAATGTCTTTAATTTACTCTCTTTATAATAATATATCCTTGGTAAAAAAAAATTAACTGCATTTTTCAGGGTTTTGCAGAATAAGGAATATGGAAAACAATTTGAGAAATGGTTCAGTATGTCAGTTTTCATATTAAGGAGCTTTGGTATTCTACAGTTTCTGGAAAATCAGCATGCATATGCCACAAATATTAGAGTATTGAGAGTAATGTTCAATGTCAAGAGACAGTGTGCTTAATATTTGGTTAAATGGGGCAAAAAAACCCACAAACAAACCAATCCTCTGCAGTATCATCTCATTCATATAAAATACAGCAGGACTTACAGATGACTGTGCTTTTCTTCTTTGGACTTTTTTACATCTTTTTATTTTTATTTTAAAATATTTTTTAATGTTTACTTATTTTTGAAAGAGAGAGAGAGAGTGTGAGCATATGGGAGGAGGGGCAGAGAGAGAAGGAGACGGAGAATGAGAAGCAGGCTCCAGGCTATGAGCTGTCAGCACAGAGCCTGACATGGGGCTGAAACTCCTGAACTATGAGATCATGACCTAAGCTGAAGTCGGACTTAACCGAGTGAGCCACCCTGATGCCCCTGGGTTTTTCTACATTTTTTAGGCCAAGCCGGTATTGTTAATCATTTCCTATCCCCCAAGTTTCTATTATTTTTGAAGGTTCAAAAATTGAATATGAAAGAAATGAGAAAATTATATTCATGTGATGGCTTAGATTGAAGTATTTAAGGTCTAAAAATTTGGCAAAGCGTAGGATTGACTACAAGGTAGAAGAATTAACCTGGAGTATTGGAAACAGCCTATCTTTGGGTTGTTTGATGAACAAACTAGATAATGTATGTAAAATGCCTTCTGAATGATGACTTATATAATTACAAAGCTTAATGCCTCTACTATCATCTACAGATTCCACCAGGACAAGAACTTTGTTTATGGCTGTATCTCCAATACCCATCACAAAACATGTGCATTAAACAGTAAGTATATGAATACTTTGTTGTAGTAAATGATAATTATTTCATAAAATAAAACTGTATCCTCAAGTCATTTGAGTGCACTACAGTTCCTTCAGGTTAAAATCTGAATTTCTGCTAGTCAAGATTTACTCAATCTAGTTGACATGTACTTTTCAAGCCCAATGATATCATAAACACAACCTCTACTCAAACTCAAAGATACTATCTCCTGATTGATGCCTACTTTCTTCTCTGCCTAAAGTCTTTAAAAATATACAGCTCAAATTAAAAATCTTCCTTTTAACTATCTCAACACTGATTTGACTTCTCAGACTGTTAATTAAAAGATAAAACATTTTAGGGGCTCTTGGGTGGCTCAGTCGGTTGGGGTTCCAACTCCGTTTTGGCTCAGGTCACGATTCTACGGTTACCTGAGTTCCAGCCCCACAAGGGGCTCTGTGCTGGTGGCTAGGAGCGCGCTTGGGATTCTCTCTCTCCCTCCCTCTCTCTCTGCCCCTCTCTCTTCACGATCTCAAAAATAAACTTTAAAAATAAATAAAATATTTATGGTCTAATTTTTGCATTTCTGGCCAAAGGGACAAGGACAACCTTTTGAATAGTAAATATTCAGTAAGTATTGATTTAACTATTTTCACAAATCATCATTCGCTTACCATTTTTTTCCAAGGAAGGTAAATCAATCTTCCCTTACCCCATATGAAGGTGCAATTATTGTCATGAGCGATTTTTAGAAAGTATTCTCTGCTATAAATGCAGCTTGTCATAAAAAGTTATTGCAGAAAAATCGAGAACGAGGCCGTTATTTTCTAATTCCAGTAATCTGTATCATGCCTTATGCTTCATTATAACTCCAATTCCTTAGATTCTCCCCTCCCCCCATGATCTTATTCAATTAATAAGGTTGAAATAATGCCAGTTGTCTTTTTGTAGCTAAAATTATAGCGTGCTTTATTTATGTGTAAATTAGAAGCTTAAGAAAACCTGAGAAAACTTATCACATGAGGAGTTATATTTTAAAAAGTTTTTTTTTTTTTTTTTAAAGTACGCAGCTGGGGAAATGTCCACGTGTAGTTTAGTAGTGAGTGGAACCCTGGGCCAGGTGCAAGATTCAGAAATGTTTTGTGTCTCTGGCCAACAATCTCCACACAAAACCCGGTTTATTTATTTGCACTACTGCAGTAGCGTTAACTCTAACGCCACTCAAACCAGCTTTGTGCACATTTTAAAATGCTCGAGCGAGCGGCTCCTCATTTTTACCAGAAAACCACCCAGCTGGATTCAGGACAGCTTTGTCACCTTATTTCAGAGCCTCTCGGGGGTCGTACAGAACTACGACTTTGGATTTGAGCGCAGAGCACGTATGCAAGCAAATGCAAGGAGACTTACAGATTTGGCAACTGTGACAAAGCTTTGTTAAAACTTGCCCCTCGAGCCGCAAGACGGGATGGTCTGGACGCCAGGAGCCAGCGCAGCCTGAGCGCGGGCGGGAGGGCGTAAAGCAGCCCGACTTTCCCTTCGCTTTGCTTTTCCTGTCACGGTGGTACAGAAATAGAAAAGCAAGGGCGGGAAGCCGCCCGCTCGTATTTTTGGCGTGTGTGTGTGTGTGTGTGTGCGTGCGCGCGCGCCTGTCGCCCGCTCGTATTTTTGGCGTGTGTGTGTGTGTGTGTGTGTGCGTGCGCGCGCGCCTGTCGCCCGCTCGTATTTTTGGCGTGTGTGTGTGTGTGTGTGTGCGCGTGCGTGTGTGTGTGTCCGCGCGCGCCTGCTCCCCGCTGGCAAGGGAAGCGGCAAGAAACGAGAACGACCCGGAACCCGCCCCTAGGGAGCTGCCGCGCCTTTGCACCAGGGCTCGGGCGTTGCGCTCCCGCCTCTTCCAGAACGCTCCGAGACGCTTATGCAGGCCCCGCCCCCTGCCGGGGTTTCCCCGCCACCCGCGCTCATTTGCATGGCGCTTCCCCTCCCCCGCTGCCATTGGCTGGCGTTGCGCCCCGCCCACTGCCCGGCGGGGTACCGTCCCCGAGCCGCCCGGAGCTGCGGGCAGCGGGCGGACTGTTAAACCGCGGCGGCGGCCGGGGCGGGAGCGGGGCGCGCTCTGGAGACAAGTCAGCGGCGCCCCGGGTGGGGGGAGGCGGGCGGGCAGCTAGAGATCACCTCAGCAGCCCCCACCACGGCCGGACCGAAGGTGCGGCGGCGGAGGGGAGCCAGGGCGCCCCAGCAGGCGAGTGGCCGGCGTCTCAGCGGCGGGCTGAGGGGGGTGGGTCTCCTCTGCCGGGGACGGCGGCAGCGCGGGGAGGGGAGAGCGGAGAAGACTGCTGGGTGGACTTGCGGGCCCGGCAGCCGAACGGCAGCCCCGTCGCCCCCCGAATCCTCTGAGCTGTTGGACTCTGGGTCCCGGCACAGGATCGCGCTCTAGGGCAGGGGTCGGACCGCAGCCAAATTTAAACGGCTAAACCTAACAGCCTTGGCAGAAGCTGAGGGGAGGGGAGAGAAGGAGTGGAGGGAGGGGTGGGGGGCGGACCCAGGCGCGGTCACGTGGGGTAGGGGCGGGGCTTGGCAGGCCTCCCTTTTGTTTTGGCTGGCGCGTGCGCAGAAGGCAGAACACGTGGTTTCCTGGGCCCGCCCCTTGGCTTAGCGGCCGCTCCTCTCCGGGTGAGGGTGTGGTGACGGCTGTTTTGGGAGAGCTGTGAAGCGGAGTTGTCTGTGTTACATGTGACCCTTATTTTCTTTATTTTGTACTTTGTTTCAGGCGTACGTTGATCTGGTCTTTGGAATTAGATGGGCTGGAGAGGAGTGTAGACAATTATTGAGGAATGGTGTTTTCCAAGTTTGTGTCGCTTCTAGGTGTTCCGAAGTGACCGACGTTGCTGGAAAATTTGAGGCTATGCGGTGATTAGTAGCAAGAAATCCAAAGCGGTTTTCTAGTCATTAAAGAAAGAAGAGGCTAGCTGTGCATACAAGAGAGAAGGCACTGGATGGACCTTCTTGTAATGCTTTCTTAACTTTGAGAAAATTGGTGTTTGGTTCCCTGGCCGCCTGGCCGGCGGATCCACTCCATCCTTTACCTCGGATCAGCTGTGGGGCGCGGCGCGGGGAGGTGGGGGGTTTTGGAGATTGATTTTTTTTTTTTTTTTAACTGAGGGAAGCACATTCTTTTTTGATTCCCCAAACTTTAGTCAGCTGGTGAGGTTTAAGAGGGTAACTTACTTTGTCTTACTCAGTTTGCTTAACTTGGTGCTGAGCTTGAGTCGGTAGGAATGTTTTTAAAATGCAGGATTGGGGCAGTTTTGTTACCACTTAAACATACGAGATATTAACCAATACTGCAGACAAAACTGGCGATGTTTGTTGACTAGGTAAAAGAGTCTCTAAAAATAAGTGAATATTGGAGGAAAACTCAGTGTTCTGGAATGTAGATTACTTGAGAAAGAGGTTCAGCATGGAGTGGTTTCTGCTATTTCCAGTTTCTAACTAGCCGTTTTCTTGGGCAAGTCACAACCCCTCTGATCTCAATGTTTGTTTCGTCTTGCAAATCGTTTCATAATACTATCCCTGCTTTAAGAGATTGTTATGATAATTAAATACCTCGTGTTAGTAAAAGTGGTGTACAATCTTTATCAAGCATTACAAATACAGAAGTTGCTAAGTAATACGGTTTTATAGCAAAAGTCAGGTCTTTCTAATCCAGCATACTGGAAGAGTATAAACGGTGAATGGATCATGAAATAAGATGTATTTGAATATATTTAAAGTCTGTTGTAACTATTATTTTTGATTCTTCCCCACTTGTCACCTGATTACTCAGATCAGTGTCAAGGTTGCCATCATTTTTCTGTAGTTTTAACCTAGATAGTCATTAGTTTTCTTCCCCAGCCCTTCTAGAATTTTTACGTGATTTTTTAAAAATCCAGGCCAGTTCTATCACATTTATTTTTTACATTTATTTTTTGTGTGTCATACGTGCCATTTCTAAATAGCAGTTGCTTACTTACTCTTATTATAAAATAATTTGGAAAATAAAGATGAGTTCAAATAAGAAAAATACATGTGTTTCTCTCACAATATTGGTGTATTTTCCCTATAACTGGGTGCATGCGTTTTCATTTAAGTCTACCTCATAAATGTTCCAGTGTCATTAGTCTTTGAAAAATTATTTTTGGTTGTCTAAAATTATATCGTGTAACTATCATATTTAAAGTTTTTCCTATTGGCAGATGTTTGGGATGTTTTGCTGAAGTATAAACTTCACTGCAGAGAATCACCTTTTAAAAAAATCTTTGAAAACTTTTTTCCCTTTAGGTTTGTAAAAGAGAAATTACTAGGTCAAAGTCTGTGTGTGTGTGTGTGTGTGTGTGTGTGTGTGTGTGTGTGTGTGTGTAAGGCTCTTTAACATCAAACTACCTTCCAGAATGTCGTATCTAGTATGATACAGTGTATCTAGTGTATGAGCCATCCTCCCATTATATCTTTGTTCATCTTCTAGTTATTAGTATTGAAACAAAAAGTCTTGCTTTAATTTGCATTAATTTTTTTTCCACTGATGTCTGTGACCTATATATTTTATTTTCCTAACTTAGTGTAAGCTGCTCGAAGGAGAATATATTTCGTTTTTGACAAGCTGCGAATCACAAAGTGGATACTCAGTGAATACTTGCCATTTGGCTATTAATATTTACCTTTTTGACCTCTGCAAGATCAAGAAATGAGGTCTTCTTTTTTTGTCTTATTCAGTTTACCAGTACATTGTTGGCAATGTACCGTTATTGATTGATTCATTACAGTACTTCTCCCTTCATGCGGGGGGACTCACTGATCCTCTCAGAGTTGTCTACTAAAAGGTCCAGTGATTTCTCATTGTTCAACTGCTACATTATCCAAGAGCTCCATCCAGTTTTTATGTTATTTATCGTGATAACTTAAACTATTTCATTTCCTTTATTCATTTATCTATCTTGTATGGAGTTCACTTTAGAAATTTCATTCTGATCATTCTGATTTCACAGGTAGCCTTTACTGGGTTATTATTATTTTTTTAAAGCCTACTGCCTAAAGTGTATTTGTTTTATTCACATTGTTCTTGATAGTCCACCTACTGTTGCCTGTAATACCTTTTACTGCCTTTAACCTACTACATAAACCTTACGTGTCATCTATTTTCATTTATTCAGTTATTTTCTTCTCACGTCCTTCTGCATTTGTCTATACTGTATTAGATTGTAGGGGGACAGAAAGCAGTTTCTTTTGGTTTTAGAATTGTGTTTAGGATTGTTTACCGGTTGAGTTCCTCAAGTTATAAACTGCAAGGAGTGGGGCTACTTGCAACAGAAGTGACAGGCAGTAGGGACTTAACAACCAGTTTACTGACTTGAAAGCGTACCGTCTTCTACCTCTAGCCTAAAGTCCTGACTGCATTACAGTACAAAAATGGAACGCTGTATGTAGGGATGACCCTGAATTGTCAACACAATCTTACGTTACTTTCTGTATTTTATGTTCAATTTAGAAAGGCAAGGAGCATGTTTCATTGCCATATGATTCCTTTTTGTTTTTTTTCCTCTTAAATGTTGTCTTAATGAGAGAGTTCAGTGAACTGTGCTCCTTATTCCATGTAGGATAAACAACCAGCACATGTTAATAAAATGGTAATATTGTACTTGCCTGTAGACAGTCTATATTGAAAATCTGAAGACTGTTCATAATGAAGGTTTTTAAAACTTGATAATATTTTTAGGTTTGTAGAAGCATGTTCTATTTTTACACAGATGTGACAGTTCTCTAAGTACTGCAGAATTGGGGGGAAATGCATTCAATTTTAATATTGAGGTTTTATTAATATTTGTAATAAACCTTGTATTTATTGTCTGTTTCCAGTCCTATAATTTCAAGAATTCTCAAACATGTTTTTCAAAGTAATTTAAAAAATATTTGGTAGTGGACCATTAATCATCGTTTAACGACATGAAATCGAAGCAAATGTGATAGTGTATTTCTAAATGTAAATTTCTGGATCCAAGCGGATATACACAGAAAAAAAAACCTTCATTTATATTCCTATGAGTCATGCGCTTATAACTGAATAGTAATAATTCTGCTTGAAGTATGATCTGTTTGATGTGTTATGTGGCCACCCAAGTGGCTTTATCTTTAATTAAATTCCTTTAGTCTTCAAAGAGAATTCCTTTTTAGGGATAGTTTTCAAAGTGGAAGAAGTTCTTGCTGTAAACATTACTGAGTACAAAGTACTGAGCCAACTGTACCCTGGTCATGCCAATTACTGCAGTGTTTTCTGCTGTAAATTGAGAATGCCTCTATGTAACAAAGAAATCTTAAAAACATGACACTCTTTTTTATATTTATATCTTCCGTTAATTCCTATACTTCTGAGGAGTAAAATTATACCAGTATAAACTCTTTATTTCTATTATTTTAATTGGAATTTTTCTTTATGAGTTATAAATTAAAAATTTTGAATTTTCAAGTATTTTAGTAATATTTGAAAGAGCTTCTCATACTTTGCTAAGAATTTGTCTTTTTTTTTTTCCTTTTCTTTCTCCACCTTTTATAATGGATCAGCTGTCTGACACACATTTAAGTTGTAACTGTGGAAAATAACTTTTTTCTCTACTTCAGGATTCTCCTCTCAAAATGCTGTTGGTAGTTTTTATTGTTTTAAACTTGTAGATGAGTCTACCTTATTTGTGATACTGTAATTCCTAGTTTGTGTTACTGCATTTAAGAGAACTGGGATTATCCAGATTCCAGGTAAAAAAGTAAATTAATGTTCTGGGTAGATTTGAATAGGATATTTTCCATGGACTCTATGTAATACACATACATGTGCTAGAATATAAATCATAGTCAAAGTCTGGAGTATTTTAGGGGGTAGAAAATCAGATTTAGCTTTTAATGTTTAATGTTCATTTTTAGGAGAAAGGATGGTTCTTCTAATCTAAATTGTCTAAATTATCAGTCAATTCTGAAGATAGACTAGATTACCAAACTTAAAAAAAATTTTTTTTTTTTTAGACAGAAAGAGAGCATGTGTGGGAGCAGGGGAGTGGCAGAGAGAGAAAGAGAATCTCAAGCTGGCTCCACACTGAGTGTGGAGCACAACACGGGGCTCAATCTTACAACCCTGGCATCATGATTTGAGCTCAAATCAGCAGTTGGATGCTCAACTGACTGAGCCACCCACGCACTCCTAGATTAGCAAACTTTTAT